GACTGCTGCCTCGCTCGCTCGCTTCACGCTCGCTCGCTACGGCAGCAATAAAGCTATACAACACTAGGACTGCTGCCTCGCTCGCTCGCTTCACGCTCGCTCGCTACGGCAGCAATAAAGCTATACAACACTTTGCAATGTTATACAAGACTATACAACACTATATAATGCTATATGACACTAAACGACATTATGCAACATTATACAACAGTATACAAGACTAGATACGGCACCATACGACACCATACAACGTGATACAAGATGATACAACAATACATAAGGATATACGACACTTTACGGCACTATACAACGTTATACAAGACTATATGACACTATGCAAGACTCATGGCTAGAAATCCAATACAGTATGGCGGAAAAGCATGCGTGCAGAGCGCAAATTAAATAAATTCAAAATGGCGGCAATGTATAGAATTGATAGAGGAAAAATTATATTTCGTTTTTTTTGTTTTATAACCTTACAAATTCTCACATGTGCACGTCTAAAACGTCAGTATATAACACAAATATTAACTAGAACAAATATCGCGACAAATTGACAAGGCTAAATGAGTTCCCTAGCTCGATAGATTCGTACCTCTTATTCCCCATACAAGTGTCTATTAAATCCCAATAATTGGCCAAAGTTGGCCAAAGTAAGCCTTTATTTTGGCAATAATCAGTTGGTTTGGCTGTAATGTGCACGTCTAAATACACTCGAGAATATTTATTCTTTGTTTTGCGAAGACGTTTGGGACGTATCTTCGTCTTTAAGTAGGTTCCCAAACGCCATAAAAAAAGTGCGATTTAAGTGCCGCAGAGTCGTTGTCAATCGATCGACCAAGCGCCGACATAAACACTGAACAGTAACACGACATGAAAATCGAAGCAATACAGTGCTTTCTTGTCGCCATTTTAGAACTGTTGTTATGGTTTTGGTTTTGATGGTGTTTACCGCTGCAATGTTTATTTGATCGTGGATGCAGAAATAAAAGCGCAAATAAGCGGTAAAATTTGAAATTTGGCTTGGTAAATATACATTTTCTGTTGGGAATCAAATTTCGCAATTTACGAAATTCATCAATAAAGGTCAATAAAGAGGCATTTTACATATAAATTGTTTCTTATATATTTTTACAGTGTTTACGCTGAGTTGTTGCATTAAACATGTATGATATTTCGCTATTAGATTGCTATTTGCAATGGAAATTAGCAATTGCAAGCCCTTCATTCGCAGTAATGAAGCTCAATGTACGCAGGATATAGTTTTGACCTTTTGGCTTTAGATATTCACAATATATTTGCCGCGTTTAGTCTTGTTCTCGCTATAAAAATCAGCTGTGCTGCCCAGAACAAGACTCTTTAACTCGTTCAACTCCTTGCAGAAATGAACCGAAATGGCGCAATGTTTAATACCAAGTAATTAATTTATGCAAATCCGCTATTTATGTAAATTTAGCCTTCAGGTCAAACCGCATACTGTATTGCATTTCTAGCCATGTATACAACGCTATACTACACTATAGACGACTATTTAACAAGACTATAAGCTACTATAGAGAGTAAACAACACTATACAACGTTATACAAGACTATACGACACTATATGTCATTTCGATGTTTTCGTTCCTGGTTGAGTTAATAGTTATATACCCTATACAGATTACAGTTGATTCATTCGCTTCAATGGGTAAAATAATTCGACAAAAATACGTTGTTACTTGTAATCAAACTTTCATCTTACCTTAATGGGTAAAATAATTCGACAAAAATACGTTGTTACTTGTAATCAAACTTTCATCTTACCTTCAATATTTTCGATAAACAGCCAGACATAAAATAATATTTCGATAAACAGCCAGACATAAAATTTGCAGCAAGCTGGAATCAAAATTTAATATTTCGATAAACAGCCAGACATAAAATTTGCAGCAAGCTGGAATCAAAATTTACAACAGCACGAGGTGATGTTATTTACAAATAGTAATAGTCCATGGTGGTGTTCGTGAGTCTCAACCCGGGTATTCGGAAAGTCAAATCGCGATCTCGAGTATGTTATTTTTTAAAATTTCTGTGACGTCAAAATACGTCATAAATCTGATCATCCGTACATTCGTACATGCAAATAAAATCGAGTTGTCGCTCGGCTATACATAACTCGGCCAACCGGAAACGGACTGGTGCGAGAAAAACACATCGTCAAGAATAGGTGGCTGCCTACGGCAGCAATTACTATCTGCATGCCACGAACAAATACGATCAACTAACACCATCATGGTTGAAAATCGAAAGAAGCTGTCAACCTTATTCTGGAAAGACTAGCTCCTGAAGCATGCATGCACAGAGCGAAAGTCGTCCCAAACAATATCTCGGCTAGACACGAAAAGAAATTACATAACTTAATCCGAAGATCGGCGCTATCCGAACATCGGCAGCCAAACTTCTACGACGATCCCTTAACTACCAAACCACAAACACATCACGACGAATGAATGCAAAGCATGCAATTGATAATCTAAGGAAAGACAAACTCCGTATCGTAATGAAAGCGGACAAAGGGAACTTTTTTGTTGTTATAGATCGAAGCGACTATGAAGATATAAAAAACATTAACGACGAATGAATGCAAAGTAATTGATAATCTAAGTAAAGACAAACTCCATAACGTAATGGAAACGGACAAATGGAACGGTTTTGTTGTCATAGATGAAGTGACTATGAAGATATAAAATCAGTGCAAGAATTCAGCTTAACGATAAGAACACCTGTGAGAAAGTATCTTAATTCCTCTTCAAAAGAATCGAACGCGAATTATACCAACAATTATTACACTGGCCTGTAGGCCAAGTGTCTTAAATCCCTCTTTTTCTGTTTTCTGTTTTCGACGAGAAATGGAGTTTGCGTTAGGTCATCGCAGGCTCAGGGTGCAACGTGCTCCAGTGACATATTCAGTTCAGTTTCAAAATGGCGGTTTTCACTGAGCGATCTAATATATATTTCGCACTGTTTCGTTGAATTTTCAAAGAATTGTGCCGGTTTCCTATGGATTTTACGTTGTGCCGCACTCTGGCCTTTCTTGCGTGTTGAATTAGTGTGTTTTTCTTTGTGTAACGACTCGAAAACCCCAAAATTTGGACCCAGCGAATTTATATAATATAGTGGAATTACTGGAATATAAACAAGGACAAGTTAAAGGTTTGACAGTTTGACTTTTTAATTAACATGCAAGTATAAATATACGTTGTACGTAGGCTCATAAACATGCGTTGTACTTTTGTATTTATTTGCATAATTATAAATTTGCATCTAATTACATTAATTTGCGCCAAATTACTTTCTAATTCATCATATATTACTATAAAATGTATGTTTTCGATTGTATTCAGCGAGGTGGCTTTGCGTGCAGCGAAGTGAAACGTGATACGGTTCGATTTGTTTTTGGAACAAGATCGAACTTTGCCCCCCACTTTTTTAATTCTCAAATTGTTTATTAGATGTTTTACTGGTTGGGGTTAGAGAAGGGCTTTGGGTTGGGATTAGTTTATCTTATAAATGGAAGCAAATTGACGTATTTTTTAGAAGAATCGTCTACGTCTATGAACTTTTTAGCACGGACCTGAAACTAGCCATATCTATAACGGCATTAAAAATCAAGGACTATAATTTCTTCGCTATTATTGGCCCGTCATTATTCACGGTTGGCAGTTGATGATCATAATATTACAGTGGGCCTGGCTTGTCAGGTTGAGTTGCCCGTAGCCGGAGGGTACGTCTGAGCCGGCGTCTTGGTATATTATGGTTGATAGTTGCTGATCATGATTGTATTTATTGGTTGTATTTATATGATCCAGTATCCCTATGATCCTGTATCCCTATCTACTTCTCTACAACACATTACACCCAGTACCACGAAAGTTGCCATTTTCAGGCCAGTGTGAACGCCTGAGCAGGCGTCTTGTTTCAACTAAAACGCGAACATAAACTTGACGAACACACGTATAAAAATACCACCCGTCATTCGAGGTTCTATCAAACACAACAAACCAAACAACCCACTTCGTGACCTATCGTTATTTGTACGGACACAGCACTTTCCAACACTTCCAAATTCCTTTCAGGCATACTTTCGCCACTACAAAACCACAATGGCTACTCTGTTAATAATTCTACTGAATTTGCAGAGAAACTTAACGAAACTATAACATCGACGATGACGAAATTATGGTTTCATTTGACGTGGTATCGCTATTCACATCGATTCTCCTTTGTTCGCAACAAACTCAATTTTACACAACTTTGAAACACAGAGCAAAACTTTCTATAGATGACATTATCGATGGAGCAGTAGTCAGAGCAAGCGCCTTTCACCTCTGAGTTTGTGGGTTCGATTATCGCTACGGACTCATGTGAAGAGTCAATTACGCTGTCCTTCCCTATAGTTAAATGCCTAACATACAGAACCACTCAAAAGATTCCTAAAACCCATAGATATCTTATATAAGATATCTATGCTAAAACCCCGTGGCATCCGAATCACAACGAAACCTTTATACACTCTAGAACAGTCATGTATTACCTACCATGTAAAGACAGACCATCACCGGAAGATCAGACTGATGTGTCCTATAAGATTAACTGTGCAGATTGCTCATGCATGGAGCTATATACATTGGCGAAACTGGCAGAGCATTCAACACTAGACGAAAGGAACTGACATTGGATAAATGTAGAGCTCTGTAAAAATGGTTCAAATATACCGCTAATCACGCTTGGACAAGGCAACTATTGGCACAGAGAAACACTTGAATCATGACACACTGCATGCGCCGGCAAAAACTCTGACAACAATTCAAAACATTTACCGGAACAATACCGCTTTTCACTTAGCAAATAACTTTGAATATTCCGGTCTACGTGCCAAACGCCAATCCAAATGCATGCATGTTCTGTTACGTGATATATTTTCGTCTTTTCCGTTTTCTCTTTCAAATTTCCATAAATAGGTGCATGTCCAGAAGAAACAACTGGTGAGGCTGTTACACAAGGAATATTCTTTTGGAACGTAACGGAGGGCGACAATGTAGTGTTTAGAAACTGTCCTTATGGATATAGCAATGGCGAAAATCTAGACGATAGTCAGTCTTTACTAACTGGGACAGCAAGTCGAAGCTGTCGATGCAATGATAATAATTGCCAAAGACCATATTGGGGTGAACCTGACATTTCACGATGTAAATACCGAGTGTATAATAATTCTGAAATCACAGACGCTTTGTCCATTCTGTACCAGGTATGAGAGAATTCAAGTAACTTGTCTTAGCGACTCGTGACCTTCGAAATGCTAGCTCGACGCTCTGGCACCGGAGCCGAATTTTCTGCTTGCGCGATTTGGACGCAATATATATATATATATGGCTTATATGCCCAGTTGTTAGCACATAGCCGCTTTATTGTTTTAATCAATTTTTAATAATTAACAAGAAAAATTATTAATTAATAACTATATAACATTTAGCACAGAAAAGGCGGGGGTATTACTAACGCCCACTACACATAACGTATCTATATAAGTTCAACATATAGCGTCCAACAACGGGGAGGAGGGTGGGTAAATCTCTTCCATCCAATTTCTTGATGTGAACTGCAGCCCTCGTGGAATAGCAAAGGAAAGATGGCCCGCTTCACCACTGATAAATACCGAAATTTCCAATCACGTGCAGACTATACTTAAATTAACTTGCGCGCGCAAATAACTTATTTCGCATAATTAATTTCAACTATAAATTATCCCAGGAAGCAATAAAAACTCTTAGCGCTGTGGCAATAAGTTCCTTTTTCGTATCATTCTAAGCACAAATGAATGCACACCCACAATTAGCCAACATATACTGGCATAGATTAGAAATTACTGGTCAAAACGACATTTTCCCACTTTTGTCCATAATTAAGCAGTATAGGTATACATGCAGGGTATATTAAAACGAAGGAAATCGAATTTTAGCATGTTCGCATGCGTTAGATATGATATCGAGTTAATTAATAAAATTTTTACACAGTTACAAAATTTAGACTCTTAGCTATACGCAATGATACCTTTTTTGTGTCATTATATAGTAAAGAAAAAATGACAAAATATGAATTTTTCCAACGTTGGCAGCAAAACTGTCAAAATCTTTAAGACTTAGTAGCATGGAATAATTGTTCATAAATGTGGACACATGTTCTGAAGACACATTAATCATTAGTGATTAATTTTATTTTCCCCCTTTTGTTACGTCCGCTTATAATTATGCACAAAAAAGTGGAAAAATATGATTTTGACCGGCTCGTATTTGCATGGTCAATTGTGCTTGAAATGATACACTAAGAAACAGTGGCGGCGGAACAGATTTTATTTTGGGAGGGCTAATTTTTTTTTCCGTGACCTCCTTCCCCCCCCCTCCCCCCGTCGCCAAAAAAATTTCGGTCAATGTACCATTTCAGGAGTACAAAAATTTTTCCCGACATATACAAGAAAAGGCATGAAACAATTTTTTCCGGACCTATAACAAAACATATATTTTTCCGGACATACACAATTTTTAAACAAAATTATTGCAAATTTTTCCCCTTATACCTAAATTTTCAAAAAATACACAAAATTTTTCCTTAATTATCAAAATTTCTCCAGAAAAAACAACATTTTCTGGGGGGGCTAAGTATCTGATCTTTATAGATAAATGATGAAGCTTCTTTATGGTCGTCATTCATTGGCGACACCTCAAACCAACCATTTTTCTCCCAGGAATATATTTCTGTACTTTTACCAGGGTCACTTGAAAACCTTCCATATCCACCTTTTACTTTTGGGGGGGCTTTATCCCACCTAGCCCCCCTGTTCCGCCGCCCCTGCTAAGAAAGGTATTGTTCGAAAGCTAAAACCCAGGCCTTTAAGTTTTATTAATTTTATCAACGTTGTTATAAGTAACCGCTTGGTCTGCATGATCTGCATTTTAAGTTCTTGTTGACTGCCAGTGGCGTAGCCAGCCCGACAATTTAGTCCCGCTATGCAAATTCAAAATTATTATCATTATTCATTTCTTTAGAAATTGATTGTTTTCACAGTCAATGAACATGAAAATATTTGCATAGCGGGACCAAATAGTCGGGCTGGCTACGCTACTGTTGACTGCAAACTCATTTGTTTAATTTTAGTTTTGTTGCGTATACACCTTATAATACTCCACCAAGAGTTTCTGCAATATCTTCGAATTCACCGTTTACTCAGGGTCTTTTTTTGGCTTGTATAGTTATACCCTACTTATAAAGTAAGATGTCGCAGTCGCTAGGTCTTATTGGTATATTACAGGATATAAAAAAAGATGGAACATCACTGATTAACGCAAGTATCCAACTGGTGAGCTTGACAAATGATTCCCAGATTTTTGAAAAAGAAGATGTCGCTCTGACTGCCTTAATTCTTGAAAATATCGTTGAAGGAACAAACACTTTGAATGAGGTGAGCTTTAAAGACCGATCAAGTCCGTAATGTAAACAAAGGAGTAAAGATTTTTTTTTTTTTTTCACAATAGATTTATTAATATGTAACATTTCAAGCATGCGTTATACATTATTATTATTTTTAAAAATATATTTATTAGTTGTTTTATTAATGTCAGTACGTAAGTCCTCCATCAAGTTATTCACGAGGCCGGGGGATTCGTGCCTCGGAAGTTGCCAGGGAGATGTTGGAATCCCCGAATATGGGCCGATGTATCGAGGATCTACTTCCACGAATGCACATTATTGAAGAAGATCGTAACGATGCAAACGACATTCTACATCGTAGCCAACCTATGGTCGCGGAATATTTTTGTTGTCTCTTATTGGATATCATATCCGCAAGACATTTATAAAAGGTTTCAGCCTCTCTTCCCATGCCGCCGGTCGTTGATAGAACTAAAGGCGTGAAAACACCACGTTCGACATTCCTAATTCTCTCTCCGTATTCTCGTTTCTTGGCCTGTTCGTGTCTTCTGTAAACGGATGCGAGGTTCTGCGAGCGGTAGGAGGACGCGTTGGGATAGAACACCCTTACATAAAAAAATGCATCCTGCTGACCATTCCAAAAGCCTCTTGCCCGAATATCAACTCGGGCACCGTCATCGGTGTTGGCTGTGCGAGCTGACATGCTCTCTCCATTCAGCGGTTGAAGTGCTGGCTCTGTGGCGACATTGCTACACACTTCAGTGAGGAGTGAGGAGTGACGCTGTTAAATCACGAATCTCGTTGTGGCGGATAGTTGGAAAACCTCCCATGTGGCAGATCATGGCGTGATTTACGGTGAATTGAGCACCACAGTTGCACGTTTGAGGCGTGTTGTTCACTTTCCATCCATACCGTAGACACAGTGCGTCTCTAAATTCTCCCTTGTGTAAGTAGAACCCGTGTTCCTCAAGCGGGAGAACAGATAACCATGACGAAGACCCTTTCTCTCGAGAAAGTTCCACACAACGCTTCATTTCAGGTGTCAGCTGGTTGTATGTTATTTCAGCGTGTTCGTCCTGTCTCTGGCGGTTTTCTCTCTTGATCTCGCTTTTGACCGTGCGAACGTTGTTACAATCAACCGTTTCATTTTCGTCTTGGCAGATTATCAGTGCAACGAGTGATGCAGTAATGCGCTGTGAGGATTGAAAACAAGCCGAGGCCATTGTTGATGGATCACGAAGCCCAAGTCCTCCAAGACGAACAGGAAGTGAGAGGAGATCTCTTTCAATGGAAGAACACGGGGGTCGTCCGGTTAGTGCTGGGATGAGATGCATGTGTATTGCGTCTTCAAGTGGTTGTATTAGGTCTTCGATATCTCGAACTGTTCTTAAGAGATAAGACCAGCGGTTGGATAAGCCGTGTATGTATGTATGTATGCTGCGTACGCTGCGTGTGGTTGAGAAGAAGCAATACGAGCCAGGTTCATGATGTCATTGGTCCATTCATGTACTTTGTTGCCAACATATTCCTCAGTAAAAGTTTTAGAACCAATAGCAGCCCCAAGATGTCATTTCCCATGGGTCGTTATGCGTACATCTGTGCCCGCGAATGCGTCTTTGGCCACGTTCTCAAATTCTGGCTTCACCACGAGGTACGTCTTGGAATCATTAGGGTAATATCCAAACGAGGGACCGTGATCAGTCAGTTCATCCCACCACTTTCTGAGTCCTGTGCAGGTAGACGCTTCTGTGGCATCATCAGCATACCATGCTTGGTGTACATCAGGACAACCAGCTTTAAGCTTATCAATCAGTGGCTTTATCGCGAGTGCATACATCGCCATCGCTAACGGATCTCCTTGGGTTGTTCCTTCAGTTGATGCAATTTCGCCGTCTCCTGTTACGTACATTCTGACTGGGGTTCTGTAGGTGTTGGTCAGGGTGGTCGCCAATGATGGACAGATTATGCTGATGTTATGGAGGGCTGCTTGACGGTTAAGTGAGTTGAACGCGTTATTTGCATCAACCAGAAGTACCGCTTCGGTGTCGGGTGTTTGGAAAATGCTTCGCATGGCATGTACCGCTTCAGTAAAGATTCAAATCCTTTGTTTACATTTTGAACTGCTATGTTTCTAAAATAAGACATATTAACTGGATTATCTAACACTATACGGGTTGGCTATTGTAAATGAATATAAACTAGAGTACGTTTCAACTCAAAAAAGTTCGAAACATGCAAAATTTGGACAATCGGTTTATATCTGCGGGTCTCCCTTTGTTATGAGCAGAACTGATGCGCAGAACGGACTTCACATGGTCTTATAATTACACAAATGAACTGTAATCGTCGTTCGGTTTATTTTATTTACCGCGGTGAGGCCTCCCTCGCATTAAATGAATTAAATTCAGTCCGAGACGTTTTATCCGTCATGGCCAGACGGATACAACGTCTATATAATAACACTTGCAACACTTTCAATCGTAACGGGTGGTAAATTTACTTGACTTCCGAATGATAACCATTCATCTTTTACTTTAGGGTATTCTTTAGTCAAACTTGTAAAGAGACTGTTTATGTAATCAGCAGTTTGTTTATCGTTCATTGGGGCGTCTGATAGAGGGTCTGATAAGTCAAAGTTCTGTCTTTTATTTCCAACAATGCGTTTTACATTTTCCACCATTTCTTTGAGTTTTGGTTATGAAAGGGTTTAATATTTTGTTCATAGAATACGCGCTTGGCCTTTGTAATCTCTGCAACAATTAAGTTCCGCAATTGCTTGGATTGATCGGCTCTTCCAAGTTGGTATGCCTTATCTCGTTTCTGTATCAAATGTTTAATTCTTCCATTTATAAAAGGTTTGTCGTCATCTTGAATTTTGACTGACTTTAAAGGGAAGAATGCATCAACCATTTCTGTTGTTAATTCTAAAAACTTGTTGACTTAATTATACAAGAGGCATTCAACACGGGTGACCAGTTATATTCACCGATATACTGCTCAAAGGCTTGTAGTGACGAGAATTTCAGTGGTCTTACATTTATCCGTTTTGGCTTTTGCTTGTGCTGCATTTGTTCTAGTGATGACCATATAATTGTACAGTGGTCTGAGGTACCAATTGGGGCCAATACAAGTGGGGCTTGGTAAAATTTATGAATGTCCGTCAAAATAAGATCAAGAATTGCCGAATTTCTGGTAGGTTGTTTGATGACTTGTTTCAAGTGGCATTGTCTATTGATGATCTTTGTACTAAAGCCATTACTTGCAGGGTTAAAATCACCAGCAGCTATAATTGACGTATTTGGACTTTCTGATTTCAACATATCATAACAATAACAAAAGTACTCAAAAAACCTGTTCAAGTTTTTCTGATCTATATCGATCGAGGAAGCCATTTCGGCCGCAAAACAATCCAGAGGCACTCGAAGTCTTCGTTAGATAGGTCGGACCGAGCTTTTAAAGAATAGTTTCTTTAACATAGATTGTGACGCCACCACCTCTTCCTATCGTTCTATCCTTCCTTGTTAAATTAAAACCAGTGATGTTCACTGATTGGTCCGGCACATCGTCTGTCAGACACGTTTCGGTCACTAGTATAATATCTGATTTATGTTGCACTATCACAACCACAAGTTCAGGTTTCTTTTTGAAAATTGAACGCGCATTAAATAGAAGCACATTTGGCATTGTATGTCTTTGTTTGCATCGACATACAATGTCAAATGTGCTTCTATTTAATGCGCGTTCAATAGCAGGCGCGATGGTAGCTGGTAGCAGGCGCGATGCCCTCTCAACTCCCGCCCGCACTAAACGCCTGCTACGCAGGCTACAACGTCTGTAGCGCGTCTTCGTTTCATACGTCTTAACGTCGTGTCGAATTAAATGCATAAGTACTAGTTAAAACATGAGCAGCCGATCTTTATCTGAAAAACAAACTCAAGCCGAAGGCGCGAAAGTTTGTATATCAGATAAAGATCGGATGCGAATGTTTTAACGTGCTTAAAAATACGACCCATATTATGAGTTCATTGGCGAAGTAATTTTAAAAATAGACGTTGTCTAAGCTGAGAAAATCACAGCTGAAGTTCATGTAAATGAGAACAAATCTTCATCCGATTTACAAACATTGATCAAACATTCATTTCTTTTGAATTTGCTTCATGAATTATTAACGAGTATTTCTGAAATTATGTTAAAGTCTGTTTCTCTCTTTCTGGCCTCGTGGTTTTTATTTCTGGGTAATCCATGATTGCTAGTCTAGTTATGAAATGAATTCGTCTGAATTAAATTTTTCGTTTGAAACGAAACCATTTTAAAGTCGACCAATTGACGAATTTAACAATGAATTAAATTCGTCTGAATTAAATTCGACGTATGAAACAGGCCTGATCAATCACAAATTTCCCCCCGCCAAACCTATCCATCCATATATGGAAGTATCCGTCGACAAAGCAGTACTAATTACTGAACCTATATTCTATACGGATTGCTTTAACACTCATTATTATTAATTTTCTAACAATTGTTATCAACCTTAAATTGCATGGCGTATGTGCAAGGTTTAAGTCGGTTTGTTTTATTCGAGCTGCTTCATTTACTGCTCGTGTTGGATCAATTCTCCAAATTTCACAAAGAAGTTAGTCGATTTTAATTGTTTAAACTGGACAAAATAATTTTGAACGTGAAAGGATGAAAATGTTTATGTCCTATGTTTACAAATAAAAATGTGTTCCTGCGTTAGAAGAAAGGGCAGAAACGCTGTAGCTGAGAAACCTGCTGATGAAATTCGAAGAATATGTTTAAAACTAACGTGTACAAAAATGTCTTCTTTTTCTAGACCGGTACGAATATCATTAAGGCTGTTGACAACTTCATAAATGTTGATCCTGTCATCCTTTTTCAAAGTCAGGAAACAATCAACTCGTCTACAAGGTACATACCAACAGATATAATGATGTTATATGTTATAGTAACCGGAGATGAACGTTATAGCGTGAGGCGGTTTCTACAAAAAACCGAAAACCGACCAAAAAACCCCACTCGTTTTTAAACGTAAGGTTTTTTGGAGACGTTATCGTATGTCTTTAGTTTTTCGTGTGTAAATGCCAAAACTTGATTCGTTTGCAACAAACTCGTATAAGTATGGTTCGATTTTAGTAAAAGACCAATTTTTCTTCGTTTTTTTCCGTTTTCCCCCGTTTTTTTCGGTTTTTCTCCAAAAGTAACATCGAGTATTTCGGTTTTCAAAAAACATCGTTTTTTTCGGTTTATCGAAAAACCGCCTCACCCTAGAACGTTAACCAAAGTTATAGCTGTTACTATAGGAATTGCTAGATTATTGTTCCTAATATAGATGTAGTTAAGTTAGGGCAATTAAAAAACATTTTCACTTTTTCATATCAGATTTTTTGAAAAACCTGGGGCGGATGGGTGACTTTTTATTTTTTTTCGTTAATAGCGGAAGTAGTGTATTTCCCCTTTAAAAAACGCGCTAAAAGGTTGTTTTCACAGTCAACAAGTAGTCACAGTCAAGAGCCATTTTAACTTTTACGTCCGAATGAAAGACCTTAATTTAAAGCAGAATTATCTGGAACTCGTACGCCTATCCAATGCTTCAAAACTTTTGTTCCAGCTGGTATTTGAACGACAACGAAAGGCATATTAAAACAATATGGCCGCCAATCTTTGGTTTCCGACTACTTCACGACCAATTCCGATTCATCAATATAAATTTAAAAAACAATTTCGGGCGACCAATTTTTCAGGGATGGCGGCGATGAAAAACTGAATTTTTTTTTAATTGGCCTTTAGAAATTGAATACCTTTTTGAAACCTGATCAATGTTTTGTTGCAGAGTATTATCAGTAGTTGAAGATTATCTTGAGAATGTTGCTATAAATCCTGAAGCAAATGTACAACAAAATGAACGAAACATCGTTGTATATTCACGAGACGTCAATCAAAGTACATTCCAGGGAGCTGGAGCTGAATCATTAATTGATACCAAGAGAAACGAAGAAAACGATTTTACTGTTTACAATAATGATTTTAGTGTTCAACCTACGGTTTCTCAAATTTCACTAACAATGCCAAAATCATTGTTTGAAAATTTGAGCATTGACAGTGAAGCTCAAAACCAACGAATAGCATTTGTCATATACCAGAAGTCGTCATTGTTTCAATCTCAAGTTAATGAAACAACTGATGGAGAGACCGTTAATAAGTTGAACAGCTTGGTAATATCTGGGTCTATTAGAGGGGAAAAATTAACTAACTTGCAAGATCCAATTATAACAACATATCAACCGTTAGATGAAGGAATATATGAGGAAACTAGTTGCGTGTGTATTTTGGGATTTCTCGTTAAAGAATGGTGTCGGTGATTGGTCACAAACTGGTTGTACTTACAAAGGAATGAAAGATGGAATTGTTACTTGCCACTGTTCTCATCTTACAAACTTCGCTATTTTAATGGTAAGAGAAATTAAGTATACGAGCACGCACAATAAAAGTGAGTAAATCTTGCATGGTATTTATTTTAAGGTTAATTTGTTAGATCAGATACTGGTTCAGGACACACAGGGATAATCTGTCCAAAAATATCGTTGTGTTTTTAGGATGTCTATATCAAGGATCGTATTGACGATGACCATGAAAAAGCATTGAGTATAATAAGTTATATTGGTTGTGCTATATCATTAGGTGGATTGGTTTTAACTATCATTACGATTTTATTATTTAAGTAAGTTTTGTTTAATTTGTTTTAATGTGTTGTTTTTTGTTTATTTCTCTCATCGTCCTCCACAGGATAGCGAAACGGGCATACAGTGATTTTACATTTACTCCGCGATCGATGGTGTCGCCCAAAATATTAACAAATTTTCATTTTTTTTAGGAAAAACATGGATAGTGAAAAAATATCATGCTTGCATGGTTCTGAATTATACGTGTCGATACAAACCATATGTCTTAATTATCCGTTATCATTGGGGTTACGATAACTCGAATTTTTCCTTGCAGTTTATATTGCAAAGAAAATTACATAAACAGTTTGTGACGTTCTTCCATTTTTTTTATTTAGAGAGTTACGAACGAAAGCTCCAACCCAGATTTTACTCAACTTCTGCATAGCCTTATCTCTGACATTAATTGTGTTCATTGTGGCTGCTGAGAGATCCAAGACTTCCTCTACAACCTGGTGTCGGGCTGCAGCAATAGCCCTACATTACTTTGTCTTAGTTGTGTTTATGTGGATGGCTATAGAAGCATATAATATGTATCTTTGCTTTGTAAAAATTTTACCAACACACCATTCTCACTTTATGATCAAGTGTCTTATTGTTGGATGGGGTATGTTAAAAGGAATTGGAAATGAATTCTCAAAAACTTAACGGTCTTTAAACCATTATTATATGTACTATTTAAAGCACGCGTATAGGAGTGTTTTATATCAGATAAAAAAAACTTTGTCTAAACCGAGAAAATCAAAGCTAAAGTTTATGTAAATCAACATGAATCTGTATCACATATACAGATACGACACGCTTATGATTTTTCTTTGTGTTTTCCAGAGGCGTAGCCAGGATTTTTGGTCTGAGGGGGCCAGCCAAAACCCAGGTTGGGCCAAGCCACCAGTGGCTCGAGACGCAAAGTTTGCGCAAGAAACAATTTTCCGGGCCACACAACGTTTTAAATCTCCCCCCCCCCCTCGTCGACAACTTTTTTATGTAAAAAATTTTTCCGGACAATAACATTACAATTGCTTTCGTAGCACTTTTCCCGATTTCCGTATGCTTCACCACGAAGATTGTCTCAATTTTCCGACGGGTCTCCCCCCCGGCCACGGCGTCACTGCAGAGCCCGCGTTAAAAATTCACTTAGCCTGTGTGCCGTAAATAAGCGAACAAGATTTTAGGTTTCTCACCGATGCCCAGCAAAGCATATATTCTACAGAATTTTTGCATTATTGACAGCATGAAGCCATATAATCAAGGATTTCGTTTTTTATACAATACATTTTATCAGGTGGGGCCCAAAATTTTGCCAGGGGGGCCGGGCACCCCAGCCCTGGCTACGCCTCTGGTGTTTTCTTCATGAATTATTAATGAGTTTTTTAAGTACTATTTAAAAAATGCTTGACTGATTTCCAAAATTAGAACTTTAAACACTGATCTGTGAAACTGGATCAAAGTGTATAGTTTGATACAGCTAATTCATTTAAGTTTGTCTCTGAACGTCAAAACCTTCGACCAGTCGACCTCTAAGCGCGTGATGCACAATGGACGTGATTATTATTATGAGATTTGTTTATGCATGCATGTTAGGTATATGTCAAATATTTATGCTAATCGTTCAAGTCAATTTAATTCCCAAAGGAGTTAAGTATGCTCACAAACAACATTCTTCAACGTTATAAAGTTGAAAAATCACATGAATTCTGCCGGATTGGCTAATACATTGGGTTAGATAGGCCAATAAAAACTGAAATAATTGAAAATCACGGGAATGCATAAATTATAAATCGCTTTTTTTCGTAAAAGTGGCAAAACAGCTTGTGGGACGTAGTAACCGTAACAGTATGAATTACATACTGTATGCAAATCCATCGTGTTTTTCGCGCTCAGAAGTCGAGAGTTTTGACTTGGAAAGGGCAACCTTAATTGAATTAGATGAATATAATCAGAGTAAATAAAGAAAAAGCGCTTTCTACTTCAAAACTTCTACTTCAAATGGTTAGAATGTTAGGGTTTGTAATTATTCCACCAAGTGAAGTGCAAGAAATCACATCATTCAAGTCCTACATCAAATGGTGTATCTATTACAGTATATCTTCCTGCCACCCCCAGTACTTATACAGGGTGTCCCAAAAAAAATGTCCCCTGTCATATTTGGTGGTATTACTTCGCTATATTTAATCAAATGTTCAATTTTTTTGCAGTGGGTTGAAAAACAATCATATTATATTAATCGTAGTATTTATATCACTAAAAGATTTAACCGTTCGGCTTCTAGAGATACTTAAGGTGGAGACAACAATTTTGCAACCCGTCCAAATTACAGAAATTAGGTTAATTTAAAAATAATGCAAATTTTGTAGGAGGATTTCTACAGTTTCTACCCACCTTTCTGCTCAAAAACAAAATAATTTTTATCTCTATTATTAAACTTTTGTAGTTTTGTTTCTTGTAGAAATTAATAAAAAAAGATGAAAAATCCCTGGCTAATTGACAAAGGCAAAGCTAAGGTTGGGAAAATGCCTTAAATTTGCTGTTTTCCGTTCAATTTGTTCCATGAAAGAGCAAATGTTGGGATTTCAGCACTAGTCTTTCCCCTTTTCTGGGTATTTGCTTCATTATTTTTACAGAAAATTAATTCGCGATTTTGGCTACAACTAATTACAAGTTTTAGAAAAGATATGTAGCCATTTACCATTAAAATATTTTATTTCGTTCCGTAATATGTTTTAACCTAATATCCACAATTTGGACAAGGGGCAATATTGGTGTCGCCACCTTAAGTAACTCTAGAAGGCGAACGGTTAAATATTTTGGTGCGAAAAATTGCAACGATTAACGTAATATGTTCATGGTTAAAAAAATGAAAAAATTTGAATATTCGAATACAGGTAACGATATAGTACCACAAAATATGATAGGGGACATTTTTTTGGGACATCCTGTACAGCGTAAAACTACGTACTGTTTAATAAACGAGTAGGAGTGTTTTATCACATATAAAACACGACGCGTAGCGGAGTGTTTTATATGTGATAAAACACGAACTACGAGTTTATTAAACAGCTTCAAAAACGTCTCAGTTAGATCACGGCATTGGCGAAATAATTTTCCAAAATAACTTTGTATTAGCTGAGAAAATACAAGTTGAAATTTGAAGCGTGTTTTATCACACATAAAGACACGCCACGCTCATGATGTCTTTTTGTGTTTCCTCATGAATTATTAATGAGTTTTTGAAGTATTTGTTTATGTGGTTCCTATTACATACTATATAAAACATATTCATCCTCCAACACTGCTAAATCGTTATTTTACATATAGTTAACATGTAACTATATAATTATGTCTAATTTGTTTCTTCACATTCTAGGATTACCAGCAATTATCGTTATTGTGACAGCAGTTTTGGAAATTAAAGAGTATGGAGGCGAAACTTAGTAAGTAAAGATCATATTTCCAGAAATACATTTGGCTCTCCATATAGGTTAGTGGCGGACACTTTGCCACACTTTCACCCTTTTGTTGCTGCAAATCTCAATTCTTAATATTTTTAGAACAGAAATTATTCCTACAGGGTGTATAAAAAAAAAACTGAACAGATATGAATTTGCTCACAATTTCGCAAAACAGCTATTAGTACCCAGTTTTTTATGTATATAGCTTCTTTGGGTACTTCTAATGTAGAATAATGAAAAAATTTCTGGATCTCAAATTTTGTGAACCAGCGCACGAAATTTTAAAGCTTTAATCATATTTTGAGTTAATAGATGGAAAATCTGTTGGGGTTTTAATTACTGTACAAAATTTCAGACAGTTTGCTTTAGTTTAAGCCCTTTAACTATTCATAGTCGGCCGGCCAACGTGGCAAAAAGTGCCTCTAAAGAGAGTTTGATGGCAACTTTATGTTAGAAGCTGGTAACAGGCATTTTCTTATAGTTCAAGCCTTGGTGAATAAGACTGTGTGTGTTACCACTTCTGATTTTTGCTTTATAGCCAAAAATTTGAGAATTTTTAAATTTTGCCTGTTAAATTACTACGATCGGAAAAAATGTAAAATTTCGTGTTCTCTTATACGAAAAATAAACTATACCACTAGAAAGAGCGTAAAAAACTTTATATAAGACAACTTAAGCGACTAGTGCGATTTTCAAGCCGATTTTGAATTAAAGATGGTTAAAGTTGGCAAAATGGGTACTAATTAGCATTAATTTGGTCATTTCTGCATTTTTTTAACATTAAAAACTCGAAATAGGATTGGAAAAACGTAGAACTCACTTAATTGTCTTATATATAGTTTTTTACGCTCTATCTAGTGGTATAGTTTATTTTTCGTATAAGAGAACATGAAATTTTACATTTTTTCCGATCAGTAGTAATTTAATAGGCAAAATTTAAAAATTCTCAAATTTTTGGCTATAAAGCAAAAATCAGAAGTGGTAACACACACAGTCTTGTTCACCAAGGCTTAAACTACAAGAAAATGCCTGCTACCAGCTTCTAACATAAAGTTGCCATCCAGTTGTACAAATTGATGACTTGGCCGGCCGTCTATCAAGCAAACTTACATTTTTTCCTATGAAAATTAGCTATTTGCATGCTTAATTAATGCCTTTGCCTAATTTGCATAGGTCAGCAATATGCAAATTAGGTAAAGGCATTAATTAAGCATGCGAAAGGCCGATTCAGTTAAGAAAAAATGAATAGCTAAAGGGCTTAGACTAAAGCAAATTGTCTGAAATTTTGTACAGTAATTAAAAACCCAACATATTTTCCATCTATTATCTCAAAATATAATTAAAGCTTTTAAATTTCGTGCGCAAGTCATTTTTAGTTTGTTGGAAAAGAACACCCCCCCCCCTGGTTCACAAAATTTGAGTTCGAAACTTTTTTTTCATTATTCTATATTATAAGTACCCAAAGAAGCTATATACATAAAAAAAAACTGGGTACTAAAAGCTGTTTTGCGAAAATGGGAGTAATTTAAGATCTGTTCAGTTTTTTTTTACACACCCTGTATGTATATTCACGTGCACTCCTTGGACCTTGACCAATCTATACTTTCGCAAGATAAAATAATGTGTAGACATGCAATGGAATTTTTTCCAAATCTTTACTATGGAAATAGCATGGATTTTCGTTGGAAATAGTGCGGAAATCCAATTTTCACATACACTAATTTCAATTTCCACGCTATATGGACACAATATGGAGAAACATGGATATACTATGGATTTAATGATACAATTGCAAATTCCATATTATGGATTTCACTATTTTTTCCTGTGATGAACAAGTTTATATACGCGTGTTCCAATTGCAGGTTGATTCATGTAACGTTTATATCCACCTCTATATAATGCTCTGTTCAAAGAAACGAAACATGAATGGTAAAGCTCCATATCATTAAAGTTTACCTAGGCCACAATATAGAAACCAATTCTTGTTTGTATAGAGATAAATTTCTTTATTTTTTAAAAATATTTATAAATTTATTCATTTAGTTGCCGTCTTCAAGGTCTCCCATTTCAAGCGGCTTTCCTTGGCCCAGTCTTACTCGTACTTCTCATCAATTTTATTGCATTTGTCCTCATCTTACGTTCCCTCCTTACCTCTGGAACTAAAGTGACCGCAGACCGCAAGACCAGTGGGATCACACAAGCAAGACGCGGTATTGCTATCCTAGTGGTCCTGGGTCTTACCTGGTTATTTGGTGTTCTTGCTATCAGAGATGCCAAATTGGTCTTTCAGTATCTATTTTGTATCTTTAACTCACTTCAAGGTTTGTTGGTTTTCATCTTTTATTGCGTCCTCTCAAAAGATACAAGAAGAAAATGGAAGTCATTATGTTCGAGCAAAGGCAAGTTAGACACGTCAAGTGGTCGTTATCATCACGCTGGAAATTCGAAATTTCACGAGGTTACCCCCAGTTACAACAATACCGGAAGTTCTTCAATGACTTCGTCATCGAACCGCGCAGGCTTCGCCGCGAATCATGCCGTCTCCATGGAAATGCAGTGACGGTCGTACAAAAAGTAAATATGTTCTCGAGTTGACTAGACTGTTTTAAATATGATGTTTTGAATTAGAGACAGTATATACTCAACGTACAGTTAACCTATTATGATAATACTCAGAATGGCAGTTAAATTTTGCATGCATGTAAAAGTCTTACCAAGTCTTTTAGCCAAACCGCACTGCACAACCAGAAGGGTATTTTGAATGAAAGCTGAAGTTTGATGCTTAGTGTAGCGTGTACTGTAAACGTAGAACTCGTATTAATAATTAGCATAGTAAATAATGTAATGTTTCAAAGACAAAGAACATAGGATTCGTTATTCAAATGATTTCGTAACTTTTGAGGAAGGCGGGATAGGTTCATTGACTTGAAATACTCATTAATCATTCATAAATCTTGTGGCAAATCATGTCAGCCATAATATGTCACGTACGTGGAGTGACTTTATATCTGATAAAGCATGTGGCATTATATAATTGTTCATCCTAATTAGTATGATTATATAATGGTTCATCCTAATTAGTATCCTTTTGTAGTCGTCATTTAAGCTATTCAAAACACTCGTTGTCGTGTTTTATCAGACATAAAATCTGATAAAAATTTTTCATTCTCAGTTACATTTCTCAGCGTTAAGAGATAGCCCATTTGCCTTCGACCAATCTTCCACAACATCAACTGCGACTTGAACACGGCTCTCTGTGTCCTTACTAACTACTTCAGCAACTGTTGTGTCATCAACAAACTTCCACCTCGATATATCACAAATATCCAGATCGTTTATCATTAAACAAAATAGCCAGGGCCCTAATTTTGTACCTTGAGGGATACCGGAAAGTACATCTCCCCACTCCGAATAACAGTCATTGGATAATTTCACTCTCTGCTTTCGATTCATCAAAAAATCGATTGTCCAGCGAGCAACCGCACGTGGAATAGCTAAATTGGAAATTTTATCAGCCAGTAAAGCATGATCGATAAGGTCCAATGCTTTTCTATAATCGAACAGGATGACTCTGACAGCAGAGCCAGTGCCATCAGTAGCTTGCGACCATTCATGGATCATAGATATAACAGCGAGAGTAGTTGAACTTCTTGGTATTACTCCATATTGACTTGGATCGATTATACTCATGATAGCTGGAGCAATGTATTTTTTAACAACACAGTCCTCAGCGATTTTCGAAATAGTGGCAGTAAGTGAAATTGGTCGTAACTGCTTACAAATGTCGCTAACGGGCTTAGTTTGTATGAGGGGCACAATGTTGGCAAGCTTCCAAGATTTAGGTAGTTGTTGTTCGGTATAGCTGCTCTTTAGCACAGCGCATACTGGCTGTGCAAGGATTTCAGCATATTCCTTAAGAGCCCAATTGGGAATTTCGTCAGGACCTGACGCCTTTCCACGATTAATTGCTTTCAATAAATGAAAGACTTCCAATTCGTTTACTTGAAAAGAGGAATAATTATCAAAGGGGGGAAGGGTTGACAGTGGATTGAAGGAGTTCATGGGCTTATTAATTAAATTCGCAATGTCAGGACGTTGCATATTCTCGATATCGTCTAAATGAAGTTGACTACATAGGTCATCGGAGCCGGTTGTAGGTACCATACCAGCAATCTGCTTCACCTCCTTCCACCATCTCTTCGGTTTGGTGGATTTAAGATTCTTTACTTTTGAAAAGTAGAATTTCGCCCGGCATGTCTTTCGCTCGCGGTTAACCCGATTCCGATAATACTTGAACTGAAAGGTATTTCCACTGCAGAAGGCAGCTTGACGCTTCCTTATAAGCTCTTTAAATTCTGCAGTAATCCATGGAGGATCGTGTACATGCAAAGCCGTTTTCTTTATTGGCATAATGGTGCTAATACCGAGACGTACTAACTCTTCGAAATACTGGAGTTCATTTCGCATGTGTCAAAATAATTCAGAGAGGACCAATCGATAGATGTAAGTATCTTCCAAGCTCATGCCTTTTACTAGATCGTAAATCTCTCCTAGAGATAGTTCTTCTACTGCATGACTTGGGTTCTCTTTTGCAAGGATTGACAATCACAACATTATGATCTGAAAGACCAAATGGCGGAAATTTTTCGACAGAGTTCTTATCATAAAACGAATGTAAGTTGGTTATTATTAGATCCAAAGTCTGGTTGGCCCATAGATATCTTATATACACTAGATAGCGCATCTCTTTTAGTAAAATTGAAGCCAAGAATATTCCAGCGGTTACCCCCATTTGAATAGATGGCGGCCATGTTGGTCGTTCCCACTAGCTAATAAACGCTTAAAAACAACAATAACTTTCATCATTTGAATAGCTTAAAAATGTATTTGGAATAGGGTTAACTTAATGTTTAAGTTCCCTGTTTAAGAAATAGAAAACATACGAATCTTCTTATTTCATGGGAACGACCTGAGACTGCAATCACGGCTTCAATTTTTGAATTGCAGAATAATTAGATGCACTATCTAGTGTATATAAGATATCTATGGGTTGGCCCTTGTGGAAACGTTAACAATCTGTTTGCAACTGAACTGTGTTAATATCCGATTGCATTTTAACCGATTAAAGTCGCCTGCAAGAATAAACCCACAGCCAGGATAGGTGCTTTCAATAGTAATCAGTGATGTGGAGAGAAATTGGAGCATTTCATCATCATTAGCATTAGGTGGATGGTAAACGACACCAAGTATCAAGCAGGAAAACCCGCGAGGAAGTCTACTTGGACGAAAATAGACCCACAGAACTTCGTAATCTGTATGGTGGAGATGATTCAGAGGCTTATAAAATATCGTGTTCCTGATGTACACCCCAACCCCTCCGTGGGAACCCACACTGCGGTTTTTATGAACAAAATTGTAACCTGGAATATCGAGGCAGGAATCTGAGATACGGTCGTTTAACCATGTTTCCGTTATACAGGCAAGGTCAGGACTCTTTTCTGTGACAAAACAACTCACTTCATCAATTTTGGGAGCTAATGACATCGTATTTGTCAATAGTAGTTTCGGAACGTAGAAATAGACATTAGCATTGGAAATAACAGTTTTATTAATGTTAATTTGAATAATATTATTTAAATTACGTTGTCCGCGATGAATTGAAGTAGGGCGACCTGGTAGGGAAAAATCATGTTCTAGTAATAATACTGGAAAAACCTCATATTGGCTTTCCATTTGTCCTTGCGAAAACCCTCCTCAGTCTGGTTGATTCTAGCGCCATGTTTATTTCGTCGCCACGTCGATTTCTTTGATGGTGTTCTATGGGTAACGCGAGTCGGGATGGCATAACAGTTAGTTAATTCATGTTGTGATGGTTTTGTCGTTTTGCATTGTCGTTGCTGTTCTTCTCCGAAATTTCCGTATATTTTGGGAATTGACTTACTTGACTAGCATGTTTTTGAGGCTCCTGCTTATCAACTTGTTTTGGTGGTATTCGAGGGTTAGGTGGTAATTCTTTAGATGTGATATATTTATTAGTACAGATATTCTCTTGAGTCGAAGGCGCGTGTTGATTTCTAATGCAATTAGTGCTGAGTGTCTCCATAATAATGCAGGAATGATCATGACAAAGCCCATTGTCAGTTTCTTTACTCTTTTGTTCTAACTCGTGTAGGTTTAGTGCCTGTTCGAGTTGTAAGATTTTTGTTTCGGCAACCGTTAGCTCAGATTCAAGTTGCTTGGTTTTATCTTGTTCATCATGCAGTTCCCTTTCAAGACGCTTTAATTGAGTATCATAACAAACATTGGAAAGGCACTCAGACCGCAAATTTGCCAGAGATTGTAATGCATCATTACGACTCATTACAATGTCATCATTTAGATTCGATCCTATTATGTTATTGTTTTCCTCATGACGTTTTTGCAATCCGGAGGCGTTTTGGTTGTCCAAATTTGAATATTCGACAGCTTTAGGCGAATATTGAATGGTTTATCTTTATAAGACAACAGAACTCGGAAGACAGAAAATTTATATAATACTGTGGCTTAGAAAGCGAAATATTAGCTTCAAAGTAAACTAATTTGCTGTTTGAGCAACATTTCTGAATGTAAACTGTAAACACAACACAAACCCGAGAAACTTGTATTAAAATTGCGCCGTGATGAATTTTCGAATTCGCCCAAACGTCGAAACGTTTATACTCTAACTTGGCTATACTTTTCTACATGACACTGAGAGCTTAATCTTTTAGAAGTTTTCGTCGAAGTCATGGCATATAGGAAGTATCAAGAGCAACATTTGGACATATCCTGATATACTCGAGTTTCCCGATTTCCTTGTTTGAATGTCATTGTTAACAAAAATTTAAATTTCGCCTACTGCATTGCTTTACTCCTTTAGCACTATGCTGAACATGCAAGAACATGATCACAATATTATTCTACGTAAACATCGTGAAGTTCAACGCTATAGTTTCCAAGATATATCCACGCAAGTAAACAAATTTCAAGTTTTAACCCAAACAACATATTCCAATGCATGTGCAAGGGCTTTCCCCAGTAGCTAATTTCTCAATAAGGCGGCTTCCAATTGGCTCTAACTTTTTTGAACACTGCCAGATGATTGGCTCCTAAAACAAAGGGAATTGAATATGCAGCTCGGGTAAGCAGACGGTAGTATTTCGTCGCTTGGCGTAAGAACTACAACGTCTGTGAGCAGGCTAAGCCACCCTCGGTGCGTCCAATCCCGGACTCACCTCCCTGCAAGTACGTTTGTTATAAAGCTAAACAAATGTACATAGTTCTAAATGATTTGGCTCCAAGTTCGCTCGCTACTACCCTGCCGGCAGTGGTTTCTGAGCTGAGGAGAAACCACTGCGAGCAAACGAACGATCGTTTCATGTAGCCGCCATCCAGATTCACGGACGAATACATTAAATTCCGAACCGGTAAAACAAGTTTGACAAGTTTTTGTTGTTGTGTGCATGGGTCAATGCTTGCCACTGCTGGTAAAATGTGAGCCAGTTGTACACTTGAAAAAACATCACGCTCTAAAACATGCGC